AATTCAGTATGTGGAAATGATTACAGAAGTGCCAGAATTCTCCACTGATGTATGTACTGAATATACACTGTTGGACATTGTTAGAGGACAAATGAATAAACTAGTGTAACATTTTTTTAAGTGCATTTGTTTTCTCAAAATGACCAAAAGTTTCACCTTCTTAACTGAGGGCTCTACAGGCTGCAGACACTCTGGGGAGTTGTTGCGGGAATTGTTGACCAATGAGGAGACTGGGTGAAAGGTCAAGGAGGAATTTGGATGCAGTAATTTCATGGCTTCCAGTGACTTTACTTCTCCAAAGTCCAACCACCGTCTTACCTCATCCTCACCGTCCAGCACAGCTGGCATCCTGTTACACACATTAACTCAAGGTTCATTTGACTCATTACAATAAAGTGTATGACACTTAAAACATCACAATAAAAACCCCATGATTCATAATTTTTATGCGCTCAACCTGTCATGGATGCTTTGTAGATTTGGAGAGGCGTCTACAGTAATAACAGTGTAAGTGTACAGCGTCTCTCCACCACAAGGAGGAGTCCAGAAGTCAAAGAGCCCTGCTATTGTCAGCAGACGCCACCCTGTCCAGTCACTGTCATCCTGATCACTCTGTAAACAAGTGGAGGAATAAACAGATGAGTAAGACCCGCTTAAGTTAACAAATTTACTTCTTACAACTGTCAGACTTGGGCTAACCTCTGCTTGGTCCAAACTTTGGTCACTTTTCATTTTCTGTGTATTTTGTTGACCGGGCACTTGCCCTCCTTGGGTCTGAGGGAAGTAAATGAAGAAAGGCTGTTTCTCTTTCTCTGTTCGCCTCCATTCATAGAAGCCATCAGCTAGAATGACGCAGCGCTGTCCTTTCAGAAGAGGATCCTGAAGAAGAAGTTTCCAGCAACAAATCAAATGTCTGCCCACAGAATATTAGAAAATATTTGATGTTTAATACATAAGAGTGACACAGTATTTTTCCAATTCATTTTCCCACAGGGATACAAATATATGAATAAATATATGTATAATACAA